ATCCCAAATATGGAAAGGAGAACAAACTGCATTTTCCTTCTAATTTTGCATCATCTTATCTTTATATAGGTCCCTTGTTAAATGTAATAGTGTCTTTTATTAGTTCCTACAAAATCCCACTTATGCCCCCTTATTAATCTGATATTACTAATTCGTCATTACTCTTAATCATGGATTAAATAATTAATTCAATTTCTTAAACCCTTTTTAATCTTGCTCTACTTGAAATATAATGGTTGTGAAATAAGTAAAATATCCTTCATTAACGGGAAATGACATAAATGTCCTCACTTCATCGTTAAATTCTCAATTTTTCTTTGATTATCAATTAAGACTTAAGGAATTTATTATTATTCCTTAAAACCTAGTTACTTTTAACTCGACTTGAAATGTCACAAGACATTTGTAAAATGACAAAGATATCCTTTAGGATAAAATGTTCATTTTACCCTTCATTCTTCCATTCCTACAACCTTTTACACCTCATTAGTTGCCGACACATTAAACACCTTCAGTACATCACATTAAATTCTTGATTAATATTATAATACATATATCAATTAGAATAGGAGAATGTGAGATGTTATAATATTATTATTGTCATAAATGGGACATGCATTTGGACTCCCTTACAAAATATTATTGATGAAGAGAAAAATATTTAATGTATTTGTTTTTAATGCTAATGACGTCCATCAAGACTCTTCACTTACTTTTGATAATAGTCTGCCTAAAGTTGTACATGAAAAAAGCTCTCTTTCAACAGAATATGAATAAGAGCTTGAAGGGCAACTGTTCTGGACTGTTTGCTAGGTCCATGACAAAAGATCTAAAAGTGAACCTCAAGTTAAAAGGCGCACAAAACAGATAGATCTTTGTTTGGCCAGTAGCTAACAATTCTACCCTTCAACGCATCAATCACCATATGATTCAATCAGACACTTATCCGCAGATTACATTGCATCACATGTGAACGGTTTCAACCGTTGTTGATATGTAAGGGTAAAAGGCTCCATTTTATGTATTTAAATTCATTCTAACTCATACATTACTTCTGATTTTTATCATTGACTTAAATGTTGCAGTGTTAATCATACAAATACCCTCTACTATGTTGCAAAGAAAGTAATGCTTCAACGCAGCAAAAACATGACTTCACCACCTCAAAATCTAAAATAAGTTTTATCATACAAAAATGAAAATTGAAAAATGAAATATTATTGAACATATTTTGGGAGCCTTTATACACTGCTCACAAGAAATTAGAAAAGATTTGATTTTGTGGACCACAATTATTTGAAATAAATCGCCCCAACAAAGGATGGCCACAACCCCACTTTTCACCACAGCACCGCCGCCACCACCACCGTCTACCACCGCAGCACCGCCATCAACACATTCAAATCAAGTAGACACCCTCGCCCTCTTAATAGACAAATCCAAATCCAAAAACCACCTTCTCCAAATCCACGCAACTCTCATTCGCCACGGCCTCGACGACCATACTATCCTAAACTTCAAACTCCAACGCCGTTACTCTACCGTGGGCCACCTTCACTACTCCGTTACCCTCTTCAACCGCACCCGTAACCCAAACGTGTTCACATGGACCTCCATTATCCATGCCCACACCCAATCACAGCTCAACGACCAAGCTCTTTCTTACTACGCTCAAATGCTTGCCCACCGTATCCAACCCAACGCCTTCACCTTCTCCTCCCTTCTCAACGGCACCACCCTTCGGCCCACCAAAGCCATTCACTGCCACATCATCAAATTCCGTTTGAGCTCCGACACTTACGTGGCAACGGGTCTTGTCAATGGTTATGCGCGATGGGCTGATGTTATTTCCGCCGAGAAAGTGTTTGACGAAATGCCTCAGAAAAGTTTGGTTACTTTTTCGGCAATGCTTACGTGCTACGCGAAACATGGGAAGCTACGTGAGGCTCGGTTGTTGTTTGATGAAATGGGAGAAAATAGAGACGTGGTTGTTTGGAACGTGATGATTGATGGATGTGCTCGGAATGGGTCTCCCAATGAGTGTTTGTTGCTTTTTAGAAGAATGCTTGTTGAAAAAGTCAGGCCTGATGTGGTTACTTTGTTGGCTGTTCTTTCTTCTTGTGGTCAGCTTGGTGCTTTGGAGAGTGGTAGATGGGTTCATTCTTACATTGAGAACAAGAGAAAAGACATTGTTGCGGTTGAAGTTCGTGTGGGTACTGCTTTGGTTGATATGTACTGTAAATGTGGGAGCTTGGAGGATGCAAGAAATGTTTTTGATAAGATTAACGGTAAGGATGTGGTGGCTTTTAACTCAATGATGATGGGATATGCTGTTAATGGGTGTAGTGAAGAAGCTTTGAAGTTGTTTCATGAGATGTGTGATATGGGAGTTAAACCTGGTCATGTTACTTTTATTGCACTTTTAACTGCCTGTGGACATTCTGGTTTGGTTGCCAAAGGATTGGAGATTTTCAATTTGATGAAGAATAAGTATGAGATGGAACCAAGGGTTGAGCATTTTGGATGTATGGTTAAGCTACTTGGTCGAGCCGGGCATTTGCAAGAAGCTTATGATCTTGTGAGGTGCATGAGGATCGATCCTGATCCTGTGCTTTGGGGAACTCTACTTTGGGCTTGTAGACTCCATAACAATATTTCATTGGGAGAGGAGATAGCAGAGTTTATTCTGAGCAGTGATTTAGCTAGTTCTGGGACTTATGTTCTTCTTTCGAACATATATGCTGCTTCTGGCAACTGGGTTGGTGCAGCTAAGGTTAGATCGTTGATGAAAGACAGTGGAGTTGAAAAAGAACCTGGTTGTAGTATAATTGAAGTTAACAACAGGGTACATGAATTTATTGCTGGTGATTTAAGACACCCTAAGAGCAAAGATATATACATGATGTTGGAGGAGATGAATAGTTGGCTCAAGGGCAATGGTTATACTCCAAAGACAGATGTTGTTTTACATGACATAGAGGAAGAACAGAAGGAGCTATCCTTGGAAGTTCATAGTGAGAAACTTGCGTTGGCATTTGGGCTTATTAGTACCAGTCGAGGAACTACAATTAAGATTGTAAAGAACCTTCGTGTTTGTTTAGATTGTCATGCTGTGATGAAGATGATATCTAGGATCACCGGGCGTCAAATTGTAATGAGGGATCGGAACCGGTTCCACCACTTTAACAATGGTTTATGTTCATGTAAGGATTATTGGTGAACTTACTCGTGGGGATTATTGGGGAACTTAACACTTAAAAAAAAAAATTCTTAAAGGAGAAGCGCCTAAGCTGTTGCCGGTCTAGTTAACTGGGGATTTCTTAAATTTCTTAAATTAACTACAAAACTGTATTTCTATGCTCAGAAAATTTAAACCTACACAGCATTCTCAGAAAATTTCTGCATTTGAGATGGGGTGGTTCCTAAGTTTGAAATTTTCTGCATTTGAGATGGGGTGGTTCCTAGGTTTGTTCATGAACCTCGCACGCCTCTTAATAACTAGTTACCAAGATCTCAAAAATATCCGTCCACCAATTCTCGGCGAGTAAGCATCGTAAGGTATCTACCAATAGCATGTTCAATGTCTACCATGGATACTTTGAGTCATTGGGATTGTATCTTACCTGTTTCAATGAGGCAACTATCAAGGTAATTCACTCAAACTAGGAAATGTTTGTGGGAGCATTCGAGAATAGTTTAAGAGATGGACATTTCAATGAGTTAGTCACCTAGAAGCTCGTTGTCTCTATGAATGAAATCATAGCACAGTTAAGTTTTACATTAAGGGATGAGAGAGCAATGATGAGAAGAAGTCCGACATGCCTTTGGCGCATTTGACTCATTGCAGCAGCAACAACTTTCAAGTGGAGTAGGAGGCTCGCTGACAACTTTACGCCTCTCATCATTTGTTGGGAGCAAATATCGCGTGAAGTGTTCCACACTCTAATATTTCGCCTTTGCCATCCTCTAGGACATTTACAATATGGCCCTAACTCAGCATATGGTGCAAGTACCACGAGGTGAAGGGTCACCACACTAATGACTGTTATCATCTAAAGAAAGATATATAGTCGCCTATCCAATAGGGTCATATAAAAAATTATGTCAAATGAGGCTATCAGCAGAATGGGGTGGTTCCGTGTCTTAGGGACAAATTTAAAGTAAACAAGGAGGAGGATGTTAAAACAAATTTGTTCATGACATATATTCTTTAGGTTTTGATGATAATAAAGTTGAGACATATTAGTGCATAATATTTGTCATGTTTGTCATATAGTTCGATTCTAAAATTGTTCGTGTAATATGATTTGATTTACTAATTACATATTATAGTTCAATTATTTTAACTTATTTTAACTTTAGTTTAGTTTAATTCTGACGGTTCAATTTGGTTCATTGTTTTTTTTAACAACCCTACTTAAAGAATCAAATGGTAGCAAATGCCAAACAAACAAAAAGGAGCTCTATGTTGAAATGATATCGTTCCTCCATTTCAATGTTAAACATCCACTAAAACTAAGACTGGTACTAATCTATGGAGCTATTTTTAGAATACCACTTGAGAAATTATTTTATGTTTTAGAACTCAAGAATAATTAGCAAAATATCTTGCATTCCATTCCATTGCCATTTCTATCAAACATATTGTAATTGAAGAAATCGGAAGCTAAAGCAGAAAGGGGCAACTAAATACAGAAGTTGAGTAATAATTAAACACGATATTGTCCAACTAATTCTATACATTTTGGCATTTTAAGAATGCTCTCCTACAAATTACTTTTTGCTAATAGTAACAAATTACAACAGGATCCAAGAAAAATGAGTTATGCCTAATAATTAAAATGAAAAACCTATACACCAGGATACACTTCAACCAATCTAACCTTTAGTATAGAAAGGAAAAGAAAGAATCCAACGTAACCAGCCAGAAGAACATTGTATTTCTTGCAATCTCGTTCTAAAATAAATAACCAGCCAGGAGAACATGGTGTTTCTCGCAATCACATTCTAAAATCCAAAACAGAGACTATATTATTGGCAAAACATGCAGCGATCTTGTCACCCTCTTTATTCCAGCAGACCTCAAAAATGCCTCCACTGCCTGCATATGTTCTAACTATCTTGCCTTCCTTCAACGACCATATGTGTAAGGATTTGTCAAGAGACCCACTGGCTATATACTCACCATTGGGACTGAATGCAACAGAGTATACAGGTTGCCTGCAAGACAAAATAAACATGTCAGCCAAAAAACAAGAGCCTGGCAGACCATCTTTCACTGTGTATTTTTTTACTAATGAATCCATTAACATTTGTTAAACTGCACAGTAAAGATTAAAGATTTCATGTTGATCAGCCTCCTCCAAACCAGTACGACTTTGAAACAGAAAGGGGCTGATAGGTGGGGGAATCCTACACAATGTCCAAAAAAATAAAACAACGCAATTAAAAACAGTACCTGTGTCCGTTCAAGCTGTAGATGAGTTTCCCAAGTTCGACATCCCATAGTTTTACAGTTGAGTCAAATGAGGCACTGCAAAAAAATACAAGCATGTAGTTTATAACATGTACACACACTTTTTCCCATAGTAGCCAAACAAAAAATAGAGGGGAAAATACAAGCACCTTCAAAATAATAAAACTGCCAACATGGAAATATTTTGCAAAAGGTCAAAAACTGGTAGAGATTTAAAATATGAAACGGTGAAGATATCTATTATTTAAGGAGAAATATAACAATTACAAAAGGTGGTTCCCACTTCTCAGCAGTGTCATAATTCAAGCTCCTTGGAGATTTTACACTCCTGACCCTAGCTGAAAAAGTGTAAAATGCTGGTATCTAACCAGTACTCTTGCCCACACTACCTTCATAGCATCTCTTTACATGTGTACTCCCTCCCCCTTAGCAGTAACTAACTTAAACCACTCATCATTCCCTAGTTCTTTTCTTATCCCTCCTTATAACCAACTAATCTTTTGGACATTTAACCCTGCACAAGTGTTCCTTCCGTGGACCCCATCACTGGCATCTGTTTGAATTTCAGCATTGTCTCGAGACTGAATCAGAAAATACTGGAAATTGATTGCTGACTGCAAATGTCTTTCCCTGCACCCTCCTCTGTATTTATTAGCAACCAACACGTATATCTTCTGCGGATCTATATCCTCTCCAATTTATTCTCTATTGCCCTATGAACAGCACTATATGTGACCCTTGGATTACTTTTTGGTTTTATCTTTCCTCTGAATCGTTAATATTTTATTATTTCTTAACCATTGGATATGGCGCATCAGGGGAAGCTGGAGACAAGGGCAGCAGAAGATCCAAACACATCTTCTGCCCATGGTGTGTAAAGGTGCTAGTAGGTAGCTCTTTCAAGAAGTTCTCCATCGCATTGATTTTCATTTCCATCCCCAAGGATGGGCCCTTAATGACACGTGGTGCTCCAGGGCCCAAGCATTATCCCTAAGGATGCATCCTAAATGACACATGTGCTCCAAGGCCCAAGCATCATATAGTTATAAAAGATTTCAGAAATATTTGACAAATGGGCCCACCTTTATTAAAAACATAATTAGAAAGAAAGAAAAAGACCCTTTCAGAATTGGCGTACATAGTCACCAAGAGGGGAGATAGAAAACAAGAGACGAGGAAAAAATGAGCACAGCCCGTCCGGAAACAGTTCTTTTAAGCATCATAATATTCTCCAAATTTACTAGTCGCCGATTTTGCATGCAGTCACTCCTTTTTCTTTTCCTTTCTTAGCTATCCTTTTACGAACACTAATCTTAATGTCTTTGCCTTGCCCACATACTACCTCCACTGGGACTGTAACCTAGTGTATCCCATTAAAAACTAAAGACCAGGAATATCATCAAAGCAACTCCATCACAATAGAATATATGGTAAATAATTAATTAAAAAGTACTGACATGATGGATGGAGGGGAAGTCAACCAAAGAGCCAAATAGCAGAAAACTATGAGCAGACAATTACAATCAATTGGAATCAGTAACCCGCCAAAGATAGCATTCATTTTGTACAGTTGAGTTAACACATGCAACTCACAGTATTACCAATTTCAGCCAAAGAATTATCGTCGTGACCCATCCATTAAAGACTCAGAGGGTAAAGAAATAGAGGAAACAACACACTTCTATATTTCAGAAGCATAAATAAATAAATGCATAGAGAAAGACTTTGGTTGTTGGTTGCTTGTATAAATAAATAAATGCATAAAATCCAGATTTACGAACATTATTTAACCAGTGACTGACTTACCTAGCTAGCACCAATTTTTTGTTAGGATTATTTGTACCAGGACCAGTAGGGCTCCATCTGATGGTATATATCTCCTATAAAGAAACTTTTTTAGTCAATCCAACTACATGGAATGAGTAGTTAAACTCATTGCAAACACACAAAACAGACATTCAAAAAGATGCAGAACTCGGGGTACCTTGGAATGCTCCCTTAAATCGTGAAGATAATTTTCCTGCTTTAAACTCCATATCTGCAAACAATGCATCCAACCCATACAAAAAACATCAAAAGGACACATAACAAACAGTAATTTCAGAAATTACTTAATAATAATAATAATAATAATAACAACAACAACAACAACAACAACAACAACAACAACAACAACAACAATAATAATAATAATAATAATAATAATAATAATAATAATAATAATAATAAATAATTGTGAAAAATAAAGTACGGTTCAAAAAAGCCTAACCAAACCCAAAAATAAATATGTAACTATGAACAACATAAGATCCTAGGATCAGTTACTAAGAAGCTAAGTAATACCTTTGCTGTGACATCATCAGAACAGGATGCCAGCAATGAGCCTGTAGGATCCCATTTGACACAGTTAACTTCCCCCTGTAAATGAAGCAAGGTCCTTGGCAGGTGTAAGACTTGTTCGATCATTATTAAATTTTCATGAAATATCTCAAAACTAATGCTTTCTAAGAATACCACAGACAAAAATGTTCAGATCTCTAAACCTTCAACTTCACCAAACTATGATATAAAAGCCAACATGCAAAGCCTACAAATTAAGTATGACTCAACTTGATCACAGAAAATTATACTGAATTCGCAATCTAATTAATTCATTTAGTGCTGGTCGTATTCAAAAAAAAATTCACCTACATAAATAGTGTGGCGTCTCAAGAATTCTAGACTCTCTTGAAATTCGCAAGGTTATCCACTATGCTATATAGAAAACCTTGCCAACCATTATTAACTTTTTATGAACATGGAGGGGATTGATTCCTCTCAAGAATAGATATTAGCAGTGATATTGAAAAATAGGGTCTCAAGTATGAACCTGGTGTCCAGCAAAAGTGTGTACTGGGCGGGTTTCACCAATCTTGCAGACGTATATCATATTGTCTGTGGAACTTGAGGCAAAAGACATATTGCTGCGCCAGTCAACATCAAGTGCTGGACCTAAACAAGACATCAAACCCCAATCAAAAAATCATTCATATATATGGTTAAGAAAACTATCACCAAAAGTTCTTTTATAGTTAGTTACTCTCGACTAAAATACACATTCAAAATTTTCACCTGTATGAAATTCAAATTGTTGTTTCCATTCTTCTGCCTTCACATCCCAAACAATCGTAGTTTTATCACAACTTCCAGTCACGATATAATCACCTCGCTTATTCCACTTCAGAGAGAATATTGGTCCCGAGTGTTTGCTTAATGTACTCTTCAACTCACCTAGTCATAGATAGCCACCTCATATAAATTGAAAACAATGATCAAGGTTTAAGTCCTAAAAGCAAACTCATATATACCAAGAGCCTGCTTAAAACACTAATAGGAACAATGATTTACCAAATAAGATGACTGCAACAAGATACTACTAACATGTTTGCTTTGAGAAAACCTTTATTGCTCTCATTTCCTGTTTTAACTTATAATTTCAAAAATGTCAGTTTGTTTTATTCTTGCTCTATGTTTCCAAAGATCTGTACAAAAACAATGAAAACAATATAGTTGTTTTCACACTTATACAAATCTTTGAAAACAAAAAGCAAAGTGAAGACAAAGTGTCACTTTTGTAATTTAAAACAACAAAAGAATATGAAAACGGAAAATGTTTGCTAAAACCTAATAGGCCCTAATATACCCATTCAAAGATTTATCCAAAAACAGTTAAACGATTTAGTAGATTACACACTTTCCTATACAAATCTTTGAAAACAATAGCCAAGAAGCCCTATAATAGGCCCTAATATACCCAGACTCACATGACAGAGAGAACGGCATACAATTAAAATGTGCATATGCAGGCAATCATAAAATACAAAGTGTTGAGCAAAGAGTATAATAACATTACCCAAAAGTTTTCTATTCGTTAAATCATTCTTTTGAATAAAAATAACACAAGATTAATAGTGCTCCCACCCTTTTAGTTATAGAGAATAACAATTTCATCAGCAATTATATATGATTAACAGTTCCTTAGATAAACAACCCACGGACACAATTGACTTTCTAAAACAAAATGGGACTATGCTTAGTGCAGTGTAATCATTTGTTAACCCACGGACACATCTTGCAGCATGTAATCATTTGTTAAGAAATTTTAACTAATGATCATTCCAGAAAAATCACTAATTCCTTGGGTATGCAACATTCCAACCAGCATTTTATGATAATGATAATTCCAGCCAAGTTTTGAGGAGCCCATATTATATATTCATGCTGGAAGGATTCATTGTAACAAAGTAAATGGTAATTTAAGTTCACCTCCTCAGGTAACTTGACCTTCTTTGGGCATCAAAAATAGCCAAAAATCCTTTGTTAACCCATTAAAATAATAGCAAACAGTAATACTATACCCAAATATTAAGAACAAGACATCTATGAGTTTATCTCATCACATATAAGTCCTCAAATGCTATTATAAAATATAAGAACGAAAAAACACCCACCATTAGTGGTCCAAATTCTTGCTTGCCCGTCATATGAACCAGTTGCCAGAAGTGTCCCCTCCCCCTGTACAACGGACACCATAGTAAATTCCAGGTATGAAACATTAGATGCAAATATTACAGATAATAACCTCTAATTTCAAATTTTATAGTCAGGGGAATATTTACCCTTAAAAAATAGGGGGAAAAGAGTATTTCAAAGAAAAATATTCAGCTTCAATTCAAGTTTTTGGATTTTTAAGAGTTTGTTTAGTTTCAATTTTCAAACATGTTTTCTGTTACCACTTAGCATTTAATGTTTTCACTTCAAATTACAAATCAGACACTTGGTTTTCACATTTTCATGTTTCCAAAGATTCACACATGAAACAGGGAAAACTTTTTTCGTTTCGCCGTCGCGTGTAAAAATGATTGAAAACAAGAAACATGATGCTATTTCTATAACAGCTGAGTATAAGCAAAAAGTGATGGAATAACAATGACTAGAGATTTTGCTAATAGGTGGGGGGGCAACTATATGAGTACATGTGTCAACCAAAGCCGCAATGTTCGTCTTAGATCATATGTGAAGATAGATATCACTTAATTCCAAATCTCTCTTTTGATGGTTTTTGGCCTATTAGTGATAATTAATGTTCGTCTTAGATCATATCAGCTGTATTTCACAGTTGTGTGTTATACCTAATCTGGGAACAGGATTAGAGCCAGTTATAGGACCGTCAGGAATATTCTAGAATCAATTACATCTAACCTGTGCACTGCACAGGATTAGAGATAGTTAGGAACAGTTCATATACTAACCTGCACACATCTGTAGGATTAGGTTCCCCATATAATGATGTAATAATTCTCTATTGAAATCAATGAAAACAGAATATTCCAAAAAATAATTAGTTATAAATTCGCTGAAATTCAACATGGTCTCACAGAGCCACTGATCCATGGAACCCCTCCTCCTCCCTCCCCGCCACCATCACTAACCCTGGCTACTTGTGGTGGCATTCATATTCGTCCTCCACCTCTCAAGTTCTTCATAGATGATGCATCTGCATCATGTTACTCTGCATTTCTCCTTGAAGATTTCAGAGAAACTCAATGAGAAGAATTTCCATGTTTGGTGTTAACAAGTTGAGCCTCACATCAACGCTCACAACCTCAATGATTTTCTCGTCTCTCCTTCAATTCCACCTGCCACCATCACCTATGATGCATAGGTACAGATACGTACCCAGTGCGGGTACTGGTACCAGTACGGGATACGGCATTTTTTTTAAAAATCAAGGTACGGGTACGTTAATAAGAAATAAGAATTTTCTATAAAATGTATGAGTAGAAAACTAAATTGTTAGATTTATAACTAAACAACAATATAAAAAATTGAAAAAACTAAAAATAATATTAAGATACAATAACAAAAAAATTAAAACACATAAATATACTATATTGATATTTGAGAAAATCACAAATTTCATTCAAAATCAAATAATAAAAAAAATGAAATACCACAAGTACCCGGTACGGGTGCGTACCCGGTATTGGTACTTCACCATTTTAGAAATACCCATGCTTCAGAGACCATCACTAACCCTGGCTACTTGTGGTGGTATTCCTATTCGTCCTCCACCTCTCAAGTTCTTATAGATGATGTATCTGCATCATGTTACTCTGCATTTCTCCTTGAAGATTTCAGAGAAACTCAATGAGAAGCATTTCCATGTTTGGTGTTAACAAGTTGACCCTCACATCAGCGCTCACAGCCTCCATGATGTTCTCTTCTCTCCTTCAATTCCACCTAGATTTCTCAATACTAAAAGACCACACATGTGGCAAAATAAACCCCAGGTTCAGTCAGTGGCATCAATGTGATCAAATGTTCCATATGTGGCTTCAGTCCACACTCTCTAGTGAGATCCCCGCTCCTGATCTTGGCTGTGATCATTCTTATGGGCTTATGGGGTTTAGCTTATTTTCAGAAGCAAAAGCATGCTAAGGAACAACGATTGTGTGTTGAATTAAGATCCGCATCTCTTGAAAATCATACTGTTCAAGAATGTCTATGTACTCGTCTTCTCATAGAAAACCTAGCATCAATTGGAGATCACGTACATATCAATCAACATATTGATGTGATATTAGAAGGTTTGCCTCAGGAGTTCCATCCAGTTACTTTTGTTGAACGTTAGTTAGAAACCATGGATATTGATGAAGTTGAGGCTCTCCTACTTGCTCATTAAACTTATCTTGACAAGTTTAAGAAGAAAATTGTTTGCATCTCTCAATCTTACCCATTCATTTCCTTCCTCGTCTCTGCAGCCTAATAGTGATCAACCTGCACCTCAGTCATTTGCACTACCTTACACTGGTTCTTATACATCTCAGCTTGGCTCTAATTGTGGCCGTGGAGGAAGAAATGGAAGAGGTGGCAGGGAAGGTTGTTTCTCGCACATTCAATGTCAGGTCTGCTTTAAATTTGGCCACCTGGCCCCATCTTTGTGGCACCATTTTAATCAAAACTTCCAGGCCACAGGTCCTTCCAATTATCAGGGATTTCACTGGTTCTGATACATCTCAGCTTGGCTCTAATTGTGGCCGTGGAGGAAGAAATGGAAGAGGTGGCAGGGAAGGTTGTTTCTCGCACATTCAATGTCAGGTCTGCTTTAAATTTGGCCACCTGGCCCCATCTTTGTGGCACCGTTTTAATCAAAACTTCCAGGCCACAGGTCCTTCCAATTATCAGGGATTTCCTGCAAATTACAGACTCCTACATTCATTCTCACATGGAATTCTCAACTATGGTCCAAATGCTAGTGGTAAAGGTCCCCCTCCCTTTGGTTATGAATTCTCTAAAATTCAACACGCCTCATACCGCTAACTGACTCCTAATCGTATATCAAATATTATATATAAAGGTGAAATATGGTGATTATCTAAATTTTAAAAAAGATTGAATACTTATTAACTGTTGGATAGATGAGAGATCCCTACTAGTGATGGAAATAAATCATGTTGTATAAACTATTCTACATCAAGTCTAGGTCCAGCCAAACTAATTTATTAAATACATGATCAGGACTTTTTAAGTGTTAAAAGCCTATTAAGCTAAATTGGCAAGACTTTAAGTCGTCCAAAAAAACTTATAAAGACATTAAGTTAATAAAAATGACTAGTATAGTAATATCTTAAGTCCTAAAATCAATAATGAAGATTCAAATTAGTTACAAGTTACAATAAAACTGAAAAGAAAAAATATTTTACCGGAATGCTCGTTTATAATCATTCGCCACCTTTAAAATGTTTATGTAAAATAGATTAAAATGCAGTACATACTTATACTTATACCTCAGGAGAGGGAGCTGCAGGTTCTAAAATAAGAGAGGAGGGAAGTGTAATTTAAGTGTATCTAGAGGAAGAGGAGTGTGATTTGTCTTAAGAATTATTATATGAAAAACAAGTTTGGTACAGAAGCTTATAGTATATCCACTTCCTATTAAATGGGTGTGGGAAAAGTGAGTGTGTGGTGTTGCAAGTTGCAACTTCATATGATTTTTGTAATTGTGAATAACCAGATTTTGATAGTGAATTACCAGATTTTGATAGTGAATTACCAGATTTTGATAGTGAATTACCAGATTTTGATAGTGAATTACCAGATTTTGATTCAAACATACAAATTTAAGTAATTGTCTTGAAATAAATCAGAATATGCAATCGAACTCACATTCCAATCAATTGTAGTGACGTCGTTATGCTTTTCATTTGTTTTACCCCTAACATGCTTCAACACCAACGCCTCCAAAGGGACACTCTGTGAAACAGGCTTACATCTTCCTTCTGGTATTGCCCATATACGAGCTGTCGAATCCCCAGACCTTAATGTTGAAATGATGATATAGTTAAGAACAAGATTACTATAAGAAGCCATATATCAGAGTCTCTCTCAAAATCACAAAAATAAAGGGGTATCATAAATGTGTTATTTAAAAAAACTTCAGAACAAAAAGTAAATAAAGATAAAATAGCATCATATAAAATGTAAGCCATTGCATGATGTTATGCAACAGAAAAGTATCTACATTAGATATAAAATAAGATAACAAGGAAAAGGAAAAGTAAAGTCAGAATTCCTAATGATAGATAAATTAACATGGTGCACATTGAAAGCAGCTATTTCCAGAAAAACAGGCATTTTGTAAAAATAACACGATTGATTTTATTTTCTGTTACAAAAACACAATATAGTTGCAGTTTCAGAAACTAAATACGAAAAACAATTATTCCAAACAGGTTAAATCATTTGGAAGGGAAAAAAATGAATGCAATCAGTGTCCTTCCATTAAGATGAAAGTCAATCAAAATTGGAAGCCAACAATAAATTGGAAATCCAAGGAAAATAATACTATGCACATCAACCATTAAAGTTACAGACATATTGATAGGGACTCAGGTACTTGTTATCAGATTCCCATGTCCATTGTCAATATATAATTTTAAGCAAACAATTCAAGGAAATACCCACCCTGATGCAAGAAGAGATCCTGAAGGACACCATGCACAAGCACACACCTAAATGGATGGTGAACAAGACAACTGTCAGAGAGCTCTGCAACATAAACAATAGATGAAAGAAAATTTGTGTACAGATTAAGAAGCATCAATGATACACATCACCTCTGAAGTATGCCCTTCCAAGATTGTCACATCTGAACTCAGAATTTGACGTGGCTGAGATGTTGATGTCGTGCAGATGTCCGTTGATTCTGGTCCTGTCGAAACAAATGAAAATATCATCCATTTTTAAGGAAAAATATTAATAGAAAGTGTGAGGCAGACCACTAGTTTTAATTTTCGACACCACCTCATACAATGAATACTCCCTAACAGCATTTCGGGGAGAGGGGTACAGTGGTGTTAACACTTGCTACAACTACAATAAATGATTTCATTGCTACACTCCAAAATAAGAAGAAAAAAAGATACAAGATAAAGGGATCAGCTATATAGTTATTAGACATTAAGCCATTTCAGCTTTCTAACCCAACCACAATAATGACGAAAATTTATCAGAGTTTAGACGATAAAGCACTCAAATAGAAACAAGTAATATGGTTAAGGTGAACAGAAAATGAAGGGGATAACAGAGAAAAATATAGTTACCTCCGGCTGCTCCATTCACTTCATGCTTTGCAGTAACCTTTTCTTGATCTCTGACCACTTCTCTGTCAGTCTTATTAACATGCTGTTCTCTCTCTTTAGCAACTTTTACCCTCTCCCTATCCTTTTCAACTTCTTTCTCCCTTTGATGTCTTTCTTTTTCTCTTACCCGTCCACGCTCAGCCTCGTGCTCCTTTTCTAATTCTTTATTTCTCTCCTTCAGTAGTTTTTTCCTTCTTTCATTAATCATTTGCCCAAGTTCATGCACATTTTTTGTGATAAGATCCAAAGGTTGTAAGAATGAAAAATCTTCGTCCAGGTCTGCATCACACTGGCAAGCTTAAAAGAAACACTGATCAACATGAAACCTAGGGTTTGAAACCTTAAAAAGATATACTCTAATCAAATGGATGAATATTACGTAGATAAAATCAAGAATGCAAAAACAGAGGATGCTAACATTACTCAAGTTGGCTTCCATTTCAAAGTACTGCAGTCCCTTTTGAACAAATGTAACAAGAGCACCTGGTGGTACCAAATTTCCATCAATGGGACATTTGTTAATGGCAGCTTCATTACCAAAAGTATAAGCAGAATGTGTGAAACCTGTAGTAGTGATGTAACATAAGTATCCAGTAGTAAATCAATAAAGTTGTAACCTATAATGCCATTTAATAAATATGAAAAGCATCACATAAAGGATATAATCAACTTCAAAAAAGTTTTCCCTGTTCTCACGGATACCCTAGTCTATATTATTCCCCAAGACAACAGCACCAATGTAATATTCTTCTTTTTTTTTTTAAAGCCCACCTTCATTGTTATCTTATAAAATCACTAAACTTTTAAGTTTTAATCACGTGAAATTGACACCAGCATTTGCATTGTAAGAACGAACAGATCACATAAATAACATTCTTCTAAAAGATACTTTCAAGGTCTAACTCTTCTAAAAGCTACAATTTTATTTTTAATATAAAAAGCACGTGAATGATTTTACATTTAAGCACCCTTTCATGTAAGAGCAATTAGGACTTGAAGCATGTATAAATAATTGACCCACTTAACCTGGTATAAAAATTCAAAAGAAAGAGGTAGGCAAGGATTAAACTCTATTACACTTAGCCATAGCATAGACTTTAATCTTATATGAAGAACTAACTTCTTACAGCAAGAACAAACTTAGCCATAGACTTCAATCTTATATGAAAAACTAACTTCTTACAAGCTTAAGTTAATATTCATGAAGTATGAGAAAGCAAAGGCCCGTTTTTACTATATGCCGCGTTCAACTTTTTTATAGAACTATGCTGATAGCAATGATCAAACCCCTAACCATTTGGTCAATGAGGTTCTAATATCATGTTAAAGTGAGTACAGACTAACTCTTAAGAATGCATTTGATGCACACAAAAAAAAAAAACCAAAAAGGTTAAAGTGAAAGATGGGAGAAGAGGACGAGGGAGGATGGTTTAGTTTAGTGTAGTCTATGGCAGACGGAAAGCCAAAATTCTGCCATACCGGTCGCTCGGTGGTGTTGTCATTGCGGATTATGTTGGAAAAACCCACAATAGCGGCGTGCACAAAAATCGCCACAATATGCTATGGCGGATATTCTACAACAGAGTTGGAAAGGGTACTCAATAAATAAACTTATCAATAATGACCTTCCTTAAAAAAAACCAATTCAAAATCTCACGTAGTCCGATTTGGGGGTTAGTTCTGCCATCAAGTGGTTCCAGCCCCCTCCAACCCGCAACTGTAGTCCACTCTACCAAGTCCAGCGCCAATCACCACTGGACCAACTAACATTTGGTATTAATTTTAAACAAAAAGTAAAACACACCCGCAAAACCTGAAGCTATTATTGCGCAAAGGTACAAGACAAATATAATATATAACAAACATCACATGGCATGCAACATGATTCTCAACAAGTACATATAGTCTAAAGAAGAATGAGCAAGCAAACAGTTATTATTCACAGATATAATTTTTCCAAAATTACGACTCAGTTTGAAAGCTAAAAGGAGTAATCAAGCTTCTTTTCAAATGATATTTCTACTACCCTTTTACATATACAAATCCCAACTTACATAAACATAAACATAATACACAATCAATTACAATAAAAACATAATAATTAAGGATGAACTGCAAATAACCCAGCTCCTCATGTACATCATTTTCATCAGCTTTACACATTTCAAATGGTAAAAAATGAAACATAAATCCTTCTATACATCTACTCATTATCAACACATTTCATATCTTCAAAAATCATGCCTCAACGTCAAATATAATTTGGAATAACAGATCTATAAAATTTTCCGTGATCTTTCATTTTGAACCAAAAAATATAAAACGTGAAGAAACATGTTTCAATTACAGATAAATATATTCCATTTTGTTACAATAGTTAAACCTTGATCAAACAATATCATCCTTTAATCACTCAAACACAAAACGTCAACATTAAAACAAAAACTCGAAATTCGTTGAATCTTCCAAAACCCTAACATGTGAAAGAAAGTAAAGCATAGGAAGGGATTACGAAACCTGATTCGTTGAGGTAACGAAATATTAGGAAATTGAGTTCGATGGAAGTGATGGAGGCCATGTTGTGAAAGCAATGCTTCAATGGCCTATGAGAACGGTTACGCGACCATGTGTTTGGCCGTGAAAGCAGAGAGAAAGTAGTGAGCGGTGACTAAGCCGTTTTAGAGGTTTAGCTAGAGGAAGGATTGGTTAGATAAATAACTCAATTGTAGCAGTAACGCTCGCGGGGTCAGGTTGGGTTCCGTCACCCGCCGTTAATTTCCTCCGCTTCCGTTTTTTCTTCTCTTTTTGGTCGGTTTTCTACATCATAACATAAAAATATACTAATAACCCTATTACTAGTATTAATTACAATTAGAGACAGGATTACTCTATCCACCCCTACGATTGCATCTCACACCTCTGCCAAATTCGAAAATGTGTTTTCTGTAACCGGATATGTATCTTCGGATGCACTTAAAATTACTTCAACAAAGTTGTTGCAAGTAAGATGCGTGTTTTGGACCGTCTGATTGAGTTGGACAAATAAAGTGTTGAAATATTGGACAAACGCACTTCGGTTCACCTGATTGGCCTAGGTCACCCAACCTGAACTAAGGTTCAAATTCTACTCGTTTATCACATGTGACCTATGAGGTGTCCAAAAGATAATGATTGGGAGATATCATGCAAAAGGAAAAATTGTTTCTCGGAGATTTAAGGTACAATCGATTTTCCCTTACTCCCACGTATTCGTTTGAAAGTTAAGGAAAATTGTTTATCTCCTTCTTATTTGAATCAAATAACCCTCAATAATTACTTCAACCTTAAAGTTTAGATTCACTAATTCCATCAAATTGTATCATACATGGTCTCTTACTATCAGTCAAGTGATGAGATTATACTCGTATTGTATGTCACAAGTATAGTTGGTGTGCATTATGGGGTTTTGATAAAACAAACATATACCACACTTAAATCCAGCTTTCAAGCGCTTCAACCACCTTCTTCATCATGTTGACACGATGAAGCGCCACCATGATCAGCAGTGTCAGCCAGACGACCAAAAAACCTTAGCAAAGATGTGTCCTGCTATGAATGAGTTATGTCGCTACAATCAAAATTTGAAGGTGAATGTCCTAATAGAAGACAATGTATATGATCCATAGCCTCTCTTAAATGATATTTGGGTTGCTTTAGTACTGGAGAATATCAAATTGTCGTCATTAGTAATGTTCGATGGGAGGAACGACCCTTGGGAGCATATCACCCCCATCAACACTTGAATAGTTATAATTGGTGCATCTGATTCTTTAAAGTGAAAACTAAAGGTGAGAAAAATACGCAAGAAGGAGGGTTGAATTGTGTTTGAAAAATTATTTTTACTCTTGAACCAGAGTTTAGAAACTGATAATGAATGCAGCGGAAAATGTAACAGAAGTAAATAAAAACAGCAAAGAACACACAACAGTTATCATGGTTCCTCTCCAACTGAGAGTACTACAGTCTCCTTGCCACGCAAGAGATTTGCACTATAATCAGCCTGATTACAACCGTTTATACTCACCAGTATAAGATTTTCCCTGCTCATATCTACAGTCTAAGACTTTCCTAGTTAATCAACATATAATCAAGACTTCTCTGCTTAGATCCTCAGATCTTAAGACTTTCCTTACTTAAACCCTCCTAGTTAAGAACTTCACTGCTTAAACACTCTGCCTAAGACTTCTCTGCTCAGACGCACCGTCTAAGACTCCTTTGCTCAAATTTACAATCCAAGACTTCACTGCTCGAGCCCAAGGCAAGAGACTTATATATAAACTGACTGTTTAGAGAAGGAATAACTTACAACAATACTTGATTAACAATCAGAGGTGTTCAAATACAATACAATAAAATTTTACACAAAGGTTTCTTAATTTATACAAGAATAAGAACACTTTAACAAATTAGCCTCTCTTTAGCTAATATGAATGTAATGCGTGTATATCTCACTTGTAGTCGCAGCGTTATTTCTTGAGTTGATCTTCCAATCTTCTGCTCCTTTTATAGCTGAAGAAATATAGTCGTTTGAAGTATCCACAACGGCTATAGTCAGATCAAATCTTCTAGTACATCTTATTTTCCAAGAAAGTAGATGTTGGAACTCGTAGTCAAGGAATTATCTACAAAACAAGGCCTTTGTTCGGAGAACACTTCTATGAAACAAGTATAATACAATCTTTTAAAGATTATGTCAACATATCTCGAGTCTCGTGTTAGCAGAGCTTGAGTCGACACTACTCAGTTTCAGAGGCAACCACAACACGCTTCTGATTCTGAAATGTATTAGCAGTAACTTTCTGATCAGACTCTCTCACGACTGTATAATTAGAACCGAACCAAAGCTACTTTTGTGTCATAACCAGTTACATCAAATAAATATAATTATGCGCACACGAACCAGCTAGTTAGAAATACTAATTGTTTTTTCAAATACTTTGTTATCATCAAAATTTTAAAGGATACATGGTATGAACCAAATTTGTCTCAACACAAACTCATGTCCAGTACTTTCAAGGAGGTGGCCCTGAGTTAGCTCATGAACCTCGCCTGCCTCTTAATAACCAGTTACCAGGATCTCTCCAAAATATCGGTCCACTAATTCTTGGCGAGTAAGCATCATAAGGTGTCTACCAATAGCATGTTTAATGTATACCATGGATACTTCGGGTCGCTGAGATTGTAGCTCACCTGTTTCAATGAGGCAACCATCAAGGTAATTCACTCAACTAGGAAATGTTTGTGGGAGCATTCAAGAATAGTTTGAGAAATGAACATTTCAACGAGTTGCTCGCACAGAAGCTCACTGCCTCCATGAATGAAACCATGGCACGTGTTGAGTTTTACATTAAGGGCAAAGAGAGTAATGATGAGAAGAAGGCCAAAGATGTCAAGGAACATGCCTCTGGCACATTTGACCCATCACATTAGCAACGAATTTCAAGCAGAGTGGAAGGCTCGTTGACAACTTTACGCCTCTCATCATTCGTCAGGAGAAAATATTGTGCGAAGTTTTTCACACTCGTAATATTTCGCCTTTACCATCCCCCCAAGACAGTTACAATGGGGCCCGAACTCAGCATATGGTGCAAATACCACAAGGTGAGGGGTCATCGCACTAATGATTATTATTATCTAAAGAAAGATTTATAGTCGTTTATCCAATATGGTCATATGAAAAATTATATCAATGGATGTTATCAGTATAATGAAGTGGTTCCAGTTCTTAGGGACGGGATCATCTCATAAGCCATATGTCAAAGAAAACCAGTCCACCACACTTGAGGGTTAGTCGAAGGAGGTGAGTTTAGATCCTCCCTTCAAAGATACGATTTCCAAGTCACGGAGGTAGAAGACTCGTTTACTGAGTATAAGGAAAACAAGGATGATGCCCCATATCCTAAAATCTTATTCTCTCGAAAAGATGCCACTAGAATCCTCCCTCATGAGAATGACCATATGGTCATAAAAGTGCAATGTGATGACTAGGAGGTCAAGCGAGTGTTGGTCGATCCAAGAAGTCTAGTTGACATCATGTACTAGGATGCCTTAGATAAACTAAAGTTGGACTTATATGAGCTTCGTCCTTTCATAGTTTCTCTAGTGGGTTTCTCAGGCAAATAGATCTAGGTGAAATGCTACATCACTTTCAAGACGGTTTTCGGACTTAAAGAGAACACATAGATGATTAAAGTCATGTACCTTGTGATAGATGACCTGACCTCATACAACATAATCATTGGGCGACCCGTTTTCTACCTCCTGATGGTCTTCTGAACAACACTTTATGTGGACATGAAGTATTCACTGCCAAATGGTCATATCAAAGTGATCCAAGAGGATCAAGACCCACTTCCCCCGAATATGCTATAAAGACAGTCTGAGGGTCAGAAGGGCGACTAGTGCAATTATCAATGCGCCACAGGCAGGCGTAAATGGGGTAAACTTTGTATGTTTAGATCCCATGATATAGCTTGAGAAGGAAAGGCTTACGCCTATGTAGAACCTTGTTAGGGGAGAATATAAAATCAAATGGTTTATAAAGGGGTTGAATAGATTATTCCTAAAAAAAACAATTCAAAAAGGCTTTATTTTCGAAATAAAAGTTTAATGAAATCACTTGGCGTAGTAGAATTTTTGTACAATATGTGTTTGGAATGTTTGTCGTATACACTTAAACTAAAAATAAAATAAAAGAAAAATGAAGAGACTAAAGCAACCAATGCTTAAATTGATCTAAATTTGGTTTACACGAGATGTGTAAATCAAACCTTTTCAATTGAATAAGTAATCTATTATTACAATTTCCATGTTTAATCACAAGTTTAATCCAATAGAGACTTAATTTTATACACAATATCGCTATAAGTGCGGTAAAACCTAACAACATGCAATTCATAAGAGAACAAAAAACCTAAACATATGTTCTACACGAAATACAAAAGTGATGGGGAAAGGAATATAATATGTCAGATTTATAGTGATCAGCATGTTCATCCTTACTTTATTCCTGGTCCACTCTCTAATGGTTTCACGTTGAAAATGTATAGTCTTCTACTATGATTTGACAATGTTTACAAAGTCTTTCAATACAATCACAATATTCAAGGTAATGCTTAAAATTAAACAATCTTCAATTTGAACCTTCTCTTCGGATGTATATAAAGTCTGAAACTAACCTCTGCAATATTTGTTAGATGATAGGCTTCGATCTAGAGGGGGTGAATAGATCACAGATTAAAAAATTAAACTTTTGGCAAAAATAGTTTTCAAAAGTTTTATGGCACAACAGAAACAACCTGAATCGAATCATCTAACCTAACCTCTATCGAAAAGCTCAAATATGCATAAAGGTACACAAACTAATTATAATGAACACAAATTGTTCAACAACGACCAATCATAAACAATTAAATGTTAAACTATATATATAGCTTATTCCCAATGATAAAAAATACACAAAAAACAATAAAGCAATTTATTGAACACCTTTTATGCAATCGATATCGTTTAGAAATTTACTTTATTTTGTTGATCTTA